ACAACAATGACAACTACAACCAAAAAATAGCCAGGCATTGTGGCGGGCACCTGTAGTCTCAGTTACTTGGGAGGCTAAAGCAAGAGAATCACTTAAAGCCCAAGAGTTTGAGGTTGCTGTGAGCTGTGACACCACAAATGAGACTATGTCTCAAAAAAATAAATAAATAAAGTATATGGGAGCGTATGCAAACACTATGCCATTGTTTAGAAGGGACTTGAGCATCCACAAATTTTGGTATCCATGGAGGATGGGGGCAGGAGGTGTCCTGGAACCAAGCCCTTATGGTTGTCCCTCAAGGAAAAACTAAATGTTTAGGAGCTTGGCTGGAGGGCCATGGTGCCACCTCCTTTCTCCTGCCCCTGACATGAAGGTCGTGTCCAGAGCCAGCCAGTGTCTGCTCCATGATCAACAGGCTGCTTCTCTCACTATTCCCTAGCCTGGTGTTGGGTATGACCGTGACACCCTCTGATCAAGACCAAGATAAAGGCCAAACCTCCCTGCTTCCCTGGTGGTAGACAGAAGGGAGATGTACCTGGGACAGGGGTGAAGACATGCTGACTATAGCCCAGGAGCCTCCAGGTGTCCCTGCTCAGCTCTGCCTGGCTGGGAACACATGTAAGGGGCTTTCCACCTCTGATGCCCTCCCGAGAAGCCCCAAAACAAGCTGGGACAACAGCAGGTGTTCAGAGAGTTGAACTCAGACAGTGGTGGAAGTTACTCAGGTCTTCCTGCTTCCAGTGCCTGCTCTGTGCCAGGCTCCCCAGGGCAAGGCCATTTACCCTGTAGAGCAGGGAAGCCACTGTAGTCTGTCAGGTCACACCTGTCAGCAGGGGTCAAGAGTGGCTGGAGAATTTCTTCCTATATCCAGGGGTCTGTTTATCGTTCACTGCCTGACTATGGCCAAAGTCTGTGTACCTCCCAGACAACACAGTAAGAAATCACTAGCCTAACAATCTATTCACATTTATCACAAGTAGAGTCTCAGAGTTAACAGTCTGGCTGTAGCACAGGAGATTAAACTTGCTCATTGTGGCTCAGAGAAATTTCTCTTCTCTTCTTGATGAAGGAAAAATGGAATTGGGAAAACACCTCCTCCTGGAAGGTGGCCCTGATTTCTTCCCACCTTTTTCTCTGCTTTATACCACTCCCTAACAGCCCAGGCCACTCCTCCTCTGTCCTTTACATTGGCCCATCTTGTTTAGTGAAATCACATTGCATTAGAGTTGGAAGGGACATAATTTTTCTTTATGTGATATTTTTCACTTGATTTTTAAAAATAAACATTTGACAGCTAGAAAAAAATATCTAGGGAAGAATAAAAATCATTCTAGTCCTATTCTTCAGAGGAAATAATAGTTAATATGTTAGTATTTCTATTTCCTCTGCATTTTCCTAGTGTATCTTTTTCATTGTATATCTTATTGTGTTTACAATTTTATATCCCATTTTGAAAGCTGTGTTTTGTTTGTTTGTTTGTTTTATTAGCCTGAGCCACTGCATGGCCATTTTGAAAGTTTTTACAATTACATATCATGGACCACACTGACCTTCAAACAGCTGAGAGTCCTCCTGGGGAGGGTCCTCTCTGGGCTGTACACCAAGCCCTCCTCCAGAGAGGAGAGCATCCCAGGGGAAGGAGTATACTTCACAGGTACATGCAGGGGCTAGGGATGACTGGACACTTTCACTCCAATCTCAGGCCTATGGCACCCCAAGCTGGAAGGACATACATGTCCCTGGAGGTTTCAAAGATTGGTGTCTTCATCTCAGCTCAGCTTGCCTCACTTGGAGGGAAGGGATGTCATGGCCCTGCTGACCTACGGGGCACTGGGAAATGACAAATCGGACCGCCTTTGTGGCAGTGCACTGGAAACCAGAGCTGCTGCCCACTTAGGGAACATTGTTTATTAAGCTATGGATGCTGCTGACCATGAGCTGGACCTGGCCTCCAGCCAGGAAAGTACTAGCCCACAAGCCCTGGAAAGCTGTAGGCTGGCCAGAACCCTACTGCTGCACAGAGACGCATCCCCAGGGGCAAACGGAATAAACACCGCTCTCCCCTCAAGGCTGCCGAAAAATGAACCAGGATCCTGGACCTGCCAGCTCAGAGGAGGGGTCTGACCAGCAGAAAAGAGAAAAGGGAGGAGCAGGAAACAGGGCTGGACTGAGAAGCCACCCTGAGCTGCCTCAGCCTTGCTGTGCACTCCGGGAAGGTTCCTTCACCTCTGTGTGCCGTGATAACATCACTAACATGATGGGAAGCTGTCTCCATCCACCCCCGGGCTCATAAGGCAGGAAGACCCCTGGAGTCCTGTGATGAGCTCCCACTGCAGGAGGCCTGGGCAGAATAGGTGTGGTCTCTGCTCCTCCCTGGGCTGAGATCCCAGCCACACACATGAAGAGCATTCCTGGGGTCAGATGGTGGTTGGCCACTTGAGAGCTCTGCACAACGCAGGGTGTGCGGTAGCAATGGCTGTCTTGGGCTCAACTTCTGGTAAGAAAGATAATTGGTAGGCCGGGTATGGTGGCTCACACCTGTATTCCTAGCACTCTGGGAGGCCGAGGAGGGTGGATTGCCTGAGCTCACAGGTTTGAGCCCAGCCTGAGCCAAGAGAGACCTCATCTCCAAAAATAGCCAGGCATTGTGGCAGGTGCCTATAGTCCCAGCTACTTGGGAGGCTGAGGCAAGAGAATCTCTTGAGCCCAAGAGTTTGAGGTTGCTGTGAGCTATAACCCCACAGCACTCTACTGAGGGTGACGAAGTGAAACTAAGAAAGAAAGAAAAAGAGAGAGAGAGAGAGAGAAAGAGAGAGAGAGAGAAAGAAAGAATGAAAGAAAAGAAAAGAAAAGAAAAGAAAAGAAAGAAAGAAAGAAAGAAAGAAAGAAAGAAAGAAAGAAAGAAAGAAAATTGGACCACAATTATCCTTGAGGCACTGTCCCAATGGCACCTGCCCAAGAGCACCAGGGACTAAGCTGTCTGGGTGGGAAGGGGCAGAGGCAGGGAGTGGACAGGGCTCCCAAAAACATGTGCTTCTTGAGCCCTCCCTACAGCAGTGAAGAGAGATGAAGACAAAGGAGGAAGATTAGGGCAGAAACAAGGAGTCCTGGAAGCCAGCTTACTCCACCCTTGACTTCCTGTGGGACCTTGAGCAAGAGGAGCCAATGAGGGCCCACTGTGCACTAGACCATGTTAGGACCTTCACACACATTCTCTCCTCAGACCTCACCCCACACTCCATGCCCTTCTAAGGACCTGAGAGGACAAGTGACCTGCCCGAGGTCACACAGCTAGTATGAGGCACACACAGCCTGCCAAGAACGAGTTAGAGACCAGGGGCCATAAGAAGCCTTTCAGCAAACCCTGACAGGAACAGGGGGCAAGATTTACCCTCTCAGCCTGTCTCTCCCACTCCTAAATCTATCACAACAGGGCTCTGCTGGAGCTCCCTCCAGAACCTACACCAAATCCTGCCATTGGGGTCCAAGCCCACTGCCTCCACTCGGTCCAAACCATTGTCCGCTCTTCCTGGCATGACCACCACAGCCTCCCAGCTGGTCTCCGCATCTGCCCTCCCCACAGCAGCTAGAGGGAACCATAAACTGAATCACTTCCCTTCCCCACATAAAACTCTCCAAAGACTCCTACCACCTTTAGAAAAATTCCAAGCTTTTAAACTGTGGCTACGACAACTATGGGACTTGCCACAGCAGCCCTTCCAACTTCACCTTCCACCCCTCAACACCCACACCTCAGCCACACGGCCTCCACACTCTGCTGAGCACCTGGCAAGCGCACCTCTCTCAGGTTCCCTCTGCCTGGACCTCACCTGGCCAGCACTGTCCGCCCCTTTCTGCCCCAGGTGCTCTCACATCACACTGGTTCATGTTCCTGCTTGCTGTCCGCTTGTTCAGAGCCCATCTCCCCCAGCAGAATGGAGGCTCCCCGGGCCTCTCTGCTCACTGCCACATCCCCAGATCACAAGATCACAGTCCAGTGCCCACACCCGGGGTGCTCAGAGCACACGTGACAAATAAACAAATTCCCAGACCCACCTGGTTCCGGAAGATCAAGGCCACCACGCCACCAATGAGCTCCATTATGAGGCAGATCCCAAGGATGTACATAAACTGGAAAACAAAATTCAGAGATTCCCCTGGAGGGGGGCAGAGGAGGTGTGGGGGGCACAGGGGATGCACCATCTGCTCCAAGGCCAACCAAAGTGAAGACAGCCTGGGGGGGGGGGGGTGGATCTAGACAGCATCATGACATCACCAGACTTGGATGGTCATACCTGGGGAAAGCCCGTCTCCGTTGCCAGAGGGCAGGAAAGGTGACTCAGCTGCCCCAGCCAGATTGTTTTTGAAATCTGTCCCAGAGTCCCCAGCAGGGTCAAGTTGGAAAAGCATCTCCTCCTCCCCCAAGGAGACCTGAGCCTCACTCAGACTGAGCCAGGGGGCCCTGGCTTGACGTGCAGCTGGGGCAGTGCTTCTGGAACCCCTCAGAAGAGCCCTTAGAATCGGCTCCCCAGGCTCCCTAGAACAGCTGAGGTAGTTCCTAAAGCTTAGAAAATACACATCTCACCTCTTCCCTTTAGTGGAAAACAGGCATTGTCCAAACTGATTTTAGCAACTTCCAGCCTCAAGCAGCACCAAGACCCAGCTTATAGGGGCTCCCAGGAGCTTTCCATATGAGGGGAGGCAATGAGGTCAAGATACACATAGCAGCACAGGGTGAATAGATCTGCCTACCCACCACCCATAGCCTTGGGAGTCATCCTCACCCCACAGTAAAGGGACGCAGGTAGAATTAACTCTTGACCCAAGCTGGGCCCACCAGATTTAGCAGGAAAGATTCCCTGGTATCCAGAGCTACAAGGACTCTGTTGGCCCAAGGCTAGCAGCAGTCACTGCCAGGGGAGCAGCTCCAGCTGGGAGGTGGCAAAAGACATCACCTAACCCTGCCTGGTGGTGCTATCTAAACCCCAGACCCAGTGTGGGCTTGCGGGTTACATGCCTCACAACCTCCTCCTCTTTTTGTCTTTGCTTGCTCTCATTTGAGTGTGGTTTCTCCTACTTGCAAATGAGGGTCCAGATGAACACAGAGTTTAGGTAAGAACAGCATTCAAATCAGCTTATATGTGCAGGGGAGCTGTTCCAAGGAAAGGACTGAAAAAACTGAGCTGCCTTCCCAAGCTGAGGCAAAGGGCCCCAGGGACCCTCCCCACCCGCCTCGGCTTACCATTTGGAGAAGGCACAGGTTGTCCCGGAGGGAAGCCAGCACCCCAATGAAGGAGACGATGAACATGACTACCCCCAGCAGGATGAGGATGATGGCAGGGGCCAGAAAGGCACTCTCGAGGGTTTTGTATTTCTGCCGCTCGACCTCTGCATAGATCCCCACAGACAGCACCAGGGCCCCAATCAGCTGCAGGAAGAAAGCAGGGGGTGAGAATGTCATTCAATTTTCCTATGAAGAGCTCCCCTGGCGGTGTGGTACCTACTGTTGGGATGGGAGGGGCGCTTACACAAGTGGCTGCATGCAAGGAACTCTGTTATAGACTGAACAGTGAATCATGTTCCCCCAAAATTCCTCTGTTGAAGTCCTAATCCTCAAAATGTGACTGTATTGGAGACAGGGCCCTAAAAGAAGTAATTGAAGCTAAAATGAGCTGGGAGGCTGAGATGGGTGGATTGCCTGAGCTTAGGAGTTTGAGACCAGCCTGAGCAAGAACAAAACCCCATCTCTAAAAAATAGCCGGGCACTATGGAAGGCGCCTTGTAGTTCCAGCTACTTGGGAGGCTGAGGCAAGAGTTCGAGGAGGCTGTGATCTATGATGCCATAGCACTCTACTGAGGGTGACCACGACTTGGTCTCAAAAAAAAAAAAAAAATTTAAAAAAAAGAATAAAGCTAAAATGAGGTCATTAAGACAGGTGTCCCTAATCTAATAGGACTGATGTCCTTATGCGGAAGAGGAAGAGATTACAACACAGACGCACACAGAGGGAAGGCCCAGTGAACACACAGGGACACAGCAGCCATCCACAGCCAGGGAGAGGCCTCGGGAGACAGTAACCCTGGGCGGCACCTGGGGCTCAAGGAATAGGACACTGGCCCCATATACCGGAGGTGGTGGGTTCAAACCCGGCCCTGGCCAAAAACTGCGCGGAAAAAAAAAAGACAGTTGCCCTGCCAAAACCTTGATCTTAAACTTCTAACCTCCAGAACTGTGTGTGAGAAAATAAATGTCTGTTGTTTGGGCCGGTCTGTGGAACTTAATGTTACAGCATCCCAGGCAGACTAACAGGAACCCTATCTGGAGATACCCCGTTAGAGGAGAGTGCTGGTGGGTAAGGAGAAATGCCAGTGGCTGGGGGTCAGAGGACACAAATTCAAGTCTCGGTTCTCCCGTTGCTAAGCCTGGGCTTTGAACAGGCCACACGAGTCCATGGTCTCTCTAGAAAAATAGGTAAGAAAACATTCACCTCTGCCCTGCTTACCCGGGGCCTTTAGCAAGATAGAGCAGGTGGAAACACTACAAACCCCAAAGCATGGGGCGGCTGTGGTGTGTATTAAACAAGCAGGCCACACAGAGGAAATTCTGCAGCCACTCAGGGGGATGAACATTTCAAAGTACCACAGACAAGGAATTTACTTTCAGGATGACCATGGGGAAGGCCAACGGTTGGAGCAGAAAGAATTTTGAGGGTTTTTTTTTTTTTTTTTCAAGGCAAGAGTCTCACTCTGTTGCCCTCACCCTCAACTCTGCAGCATCATCATAGCTCACAGCAACTTCAAACTCTTGGGCGCAAGCAATCCTCTTGCCTCAGCCTCCTGAGTAGCTGGGACTATAGGCATCCACCACAAAGTCCAGATAGTTTTTCGATGGTCTCTTCTTGAGCTCAAGCAATCCACCTGCCTCAGTTTCCTAGAGTGCTAGGATTATAGGCATGAGCCACTGCACCCAGCCTGAGGGGAAATTTAAGTAGATTCCTTCTTTGTCAACTTCCTAATAGTGGATACACTATAAACACTGTGTCACAGGACACACTGTAACTTCCCAGCAGTCACTTCCAGGCCAGGGTAACCTCCCAGGCTCCTTACAGCAGTCAATCCACCAAGTGTGTTCACCCCAGGGCCTTTGCACGGGTGGTCCCTCCTGCCTGAAACACTCTTCCTCTTCCTGACATTCAAGTGGCTCATTGACCTGCCTCCTTTGCTCAATTGTCACCTGCTCAGTGAGGCTTGTCAGGGCCACTTATTTACAAGTGGAAAGTCCCTCTCTCTAAAAATACTGATTCCCTTTCCTTGTTTTCTTTCTTTTTTTTTTTTTTTAGAGACAGAGTCTCATTTTGTCGCCCTTGGTAGAGTGCCGTAGCATCACAGCTCACAGCAACCTCCAGCTCTTGGGC